ATTTTTAATATATATATATAATTAAATATATATTTTAAAATAAAATTTTGATAAATAATATATTCCACATGGCCTAAGACGGAGCCGGTCGTTACTTCTGATGACGACTGTTGTTATTTTTTATAAACTCCTCTCTCTCTCTCTCTCTCTCCGTATATAGCCATTTCCTTCTCCATAAACTCGATAATAAACTGTTGTTATTTTTATAAACTCCTCTCTCTCTCTCTCTCTCTCTCCGCATATAGCCATTTCCTTCTCCATAAACTCCATAATAAAATTTGTCCTTATAATTCCTTAAAGAGCAAGGGAGCCATTAATGCATGAGACTATATATGAGAGATGAGATAAGGGGAAAAGGGACAGTAGACGGTGGGGGGAAGAAACATATGACCTTTAAAGGGAAGAAGCAATTGCGAGTAAATTAAGCTATGAGATGGTGATAGTTATTTTATTTAATTTTTTTTAATGAATTTTTAAATAGCAATAAAACAGGCTATTTTAAATAGCAATCAGCCAGTTATAAGAGGCCTTAAAAGGATAACTTCAAGCATGCAGCAGCATATCGAATTATCAAATGAAGCAAGTAATGATGTAGAAAATGATATATATCATCCTACAGAAATTAAATAAAACCAGTATTCAAAAACCAGCAAGACTACAACCATATATGGGTCCCCTCAATTACAACTATAACTTAAATCCCTCCTATTTTCCATTGCAATCACCACTGAACTCTGAAGGAACTCAAGCCGTAACAGGTGAGCTCCTCTCTCTCTCTCTCTCTCTCTCTGTGCAATTTTTACTGAGAACAATGAAGTACGGTGAAGTTGATCACTTTAGCCACCCAGAACACAAATTATATTTTGTGCATTCTGACGTTCCATTCAAATGCGATGGATGCCACCAAGTTGGCATTGGATCCCGCTTCAGCTGTGCGCTCTGCGATTTTGATCTCCACACTCACTGTGCAGACGCCACCCCCAATGCCTCAGCTCTTCGCCACTCTTTCTACAAAAAAATGTTATTTTCAATTCATACCTTACCCGCCCGGGGACTGCCCTCGCTACTGCAATGCTTGCGGCCAAAGTATCGCCGGTTTTGTCTACCACTGTCGCAAGTGCGGGAATTACCTCCACCCCTGCTGTGCTGCTCTCCCACATGTTATCAATGCCAACGGCAGCCTTCGCCTCCACCTGCACCACAAAACTTCAGCGCCTTGCGACAAGTGTGGGTGGAAGGGGAAAAGTTGGTGTTATAGGAGCGATTGCAAAAAAATTAACTTGCATGTGGCTTGCGCCATAAAATTGTGGTTGGATAACATGAATGAGCTTCATTATGGCAGAGGCGACAGCAACGGCGACCTTAGCGATGGAATGACCATGGTGTTGAGGAATAAGTTTCCGATTATTGAAGCAGAGGGGAACAACCGTCACAGGAGGAGCTGGATGGGAAAGTTGAAGAAATGCTCTAAGTTGGCAGTGCTGGCAGTGAAGTTTATCATTGCGGCAATGCTCGGGGATCCCACGACTCTGATTACAGGGGTTATCACGTCTCTTCTTTCTGAATGAAGCAGAAATTAATTATTGTATCTATTTACATGTCTTCTACGCAGTAGTTTGTGTGCAAATAACTGTTTTTATTTTGAAACTCCTATTATATGTTTTCTGTTTGCGCAGTTGATTTAGTTTAGCCAGATGAAGTAGATCGAGTTGCTTGGCAAAGCAGTAGAGAAACTCCTTCTGAACTGGGCTTTCGTGCCGGCAGCCCAGCCTTTGCCACCCAACTCGTTCAATATTAACTCAGTGGATTGGATCTGTTTCTTGTAAATAGTTCTGCTTTAGCCTCAAATGAAAAATGTTCCCGTGGATTGGACTACTATACACCACGCTCTCTCTCTCTCTCTTTGTGCAATAATATAATTAATTTCAAAATAATAATAGTAATTAATTAATTAAAAATGAATGAATAAAAATAATTCAAACTTCTAATAAACTTCAAAATTCTTGAGCCGGGTTTTAAAATATTTCATACTTTATATGCTCAAATTAAGTTCATAGAGAAGCTCGTTAAATATTTCTAATATAAATACTTGTTATTTTCTAATATAAATAAATGTGGTGTTGAGACTTTGATGAATAACCGGTACTAGAGATTATCTACTTCTATCTTTCTTAATATAGACCAAATATAATATATCTACTCTAATAACGAATCATCAAAAGGCCGACTTTACATGTGATCAAACCATCTAAGGTGATTGACTCTCTCTAGTCTTATCTACTACTAAAGCTACTTGAACTATTTTAATAATATGCTCGTTTAGCATTCTGCCACTCAACCACCTAAGAATCCTCATCTATTAAAAATAAAACCAGCCAAAACTCACATTCAGTCACCAAAATTTTTTGAGATAAATTAGATGTTAGTTATATATCTTGCATATTGTGGCTTACTGCACTTGGATGTTGGTGGATTTGGCCTTGTTGGTACGCCCAAAGTCATGAAATCATACTCTTGATCGTGTGGCCACATTAATCTCTTAGTGTTAAATTTAAAGAATTGGAGAGGCAAAAAGCTTAATTTTATTGCACAAATTTGTCCCTATTTATAGATATATACAAAATATCTTAATAAAGAAACAAATAATTACTGAATAATACATAATTGCTCTAATATAATCCTTCTTAAATCAATCATCTAAATATGGAAGGAGATCAACGTGATCCAGGTGAGCCTCCCATTGATTCTCATCTTTAGCCGTGGGATCAAAATGTCAAGGGACGGCTAAGATTAATAGGTGAGCCTCTCATGGATTCCCAACCTATTAGTGGGATCAAAATGCCAATAGATAGTTGGGATTTAACAGTTAGATTAAATCTAATTTATCTGATGGAAAATGAACTCCTGATCGAGTGCAAAGTAGTGTTAAGTGTTTTTCCTAGTAATCAATCTAATGCACTTGCGTGCAAGCATATTTGTAATGATTCATAGCAAAATTGGTAAGACACAAAATTTTTAGTAAATATCGAATTCAGCTTAAAAATATCGAATTGCATGATCCTCATACATAAAACTAGAAAAATATCAGGGAAAAAAGTTCTTAAAAATCATTCAAATGCTTATAGCTAAAATAGTTGGAGAAAAAGTATAGAATTAAGCAGAGTATAACGAATGATATTTATCTTTCATTGTATTCGACTTAATTCAATACAATTGCTTACCTGAATGCATAATTTTACATAAAAGGGAGTATTGATTTTGCTGACTAATAACTCCTGCCTCAACCAGTTCTGGTCAGGTTCATGCTTCAGTGTTGAACTCACACCCATCAGTTCATGGAAAGCTTCTAACTGGAACAATTCTCATAGTAAATGCATTCCTGTAACAATGAAATGGTCTTGCGAGTGTTAAATTAATCATTACGAAAAAAAACAATGCAAATTATTTGGATTCAGTCTGGTTTAAAGGAATTGATAGAAAAAGATATGAAAAAAAGGTAAAATGCAACTGATAAAGGAATTTAATTGAGATTATGTATCAATCATTTGCTTGGTTGATCAGAAACCTGAGCAAAAATAAATAAATAAATAAAAGTTGATGAGAAATTAAATTCTTACAACAACAACAATAACATCAAGCCTTTGTCCCACTAATTCTTATCAATACAATTACAAGACATTAAGAATGTACCAAACATTCATAATTATTGCAATTATAACTAATTACATGTTTTGATAAAAAAAATATATTTTTTATAGTTTTGAAAAGTATTTAATTATTTTTGGGATTATTTAATTTTTAAAATTTTAAAATCGAACGCGTCATTATGAACAATAGATCACCTCGGGAGATAATCGTATCGTTCCCTAATGGGTTCAAATTTCAGAATTTCAAATTTATCCGGATTATCGTAGTCAAACTCAAAGGGAGAATCACATTTGACCCCGGAGGATCAAAATG